ACTGCTTGGTGTGGCATAACTACTACTGTATTGAACAAGCTAGAAACCCATAACCGCATGCTCCTTAAAATCTTATTTAGCAAAGATCGTCGCTTTCCCTCCGCTAGTCTTTACGAAATTGCCAAGATCAGTCCCCTTTCCACTCGACATAAGTACCACCTCTGTGTTCTCATACATAAAATATTACTAAATAAAATACCCTTGCATATGCAGGCTTATAATTGGTTCTCCGAAACACGGAACACCCGGAACTCACTCAGTCTCCCACGCGCTGCCTCCACCCTATTCACTAGATCCCCGATCTTTGCTGGCTATGTGTTTTGGGCAACATTACCAACGCAGGCCAAGACCAGCACGTCGATGGATAATTTTGTTGCTAAAATCTCTGCTCAATTATAGGTTTCATGTATATCCTGCTGGTTTGTCTCCTCCTTTGCCTTCTTTGCCTCTTATTTGTATTCTTTTATCTGTTTTACTGCTGTGGTTGGCTTTCACCCTTGTCTCAGTTTTATTGGCCGTCATCATGATGTGCCATGAGAGATAATGATATAAATACAAAATACAAAAGTAAAAGTTTGGCTTATCGGATGGAAGCGAGAGATATGCCATTCGAACCGATATCAAATTGTCTTTCTTCTGGACCCTACTCGAAAAATCGATGCACTTCCCCTTTAAAAACGGTACTTTTTTACGACTCCCTGATTCGTGTAGTCATAACATTTATGGCAAATTCTGGCACCATATTGGTTACCATGGCAGCAAAGCGAATTTTCCTTGCATTTTGGGTGAAATTTCGAATTTATGACAACAATTCGGTGATATCCTTTGACTTTTGCATGCGAAATTTAAATATTTGAGAGAACAAGTATAGTTGCAGTACAAGTACATGCAGTACAGTGCTGGCAACTGAAATCCGACCCCTGAGCGGTGGGTTCACATTCTAGCGGTCTCTGTTTCGTAGTTTTACCATCCCGTAGACCTATGGGTCTTTGCGACGTGAGCGCACCGCTCATGGTGTCGGATTTCAGTTGCCAGCACTGTTGTAGACCTACAAGGTCAATGATTATGATTGTACTGAGTCCGTACTGCATCATGAATGCATGCACCACGGCCCGATCCGAGACTGGCGGGAAGCTGTGCACGTGCAACGCACATGCGTTGATGTTCGCATTGATTTGCATGCGCTGCATCAATGCATGCATGCACCCCGATCCGAAAAAGGCGGGACGCTATGCAACGCACATGCGTCGATGTTGGCATTTGCATAGGCTCTGTATGTATGTATCGTCACACGCTGATGCAGTCATGATGTCTGAATCGGGGATGGTAATCTTCATGGAGAGCGAATCCCATTTGCTGCATTCACTAAAACATTTTTGGAATAAAACGTTCCCTAGCTTTAGAAGCCGAGTATAAACATTGAAAGCAGTTTAGAGTTTTGTGACAGCCTCGGTTGTGAACCACAATGCTGCCGACATTGCCAAGTCCAAGACGGGTGTTGAAATGTCACGCTAGCTAGCCCCTAGCGCGCCACGCAGGGACATGCAGGCTCATCGAGCAGCTAGGACGATGGATATACTTGCAAGAGGAAATTATGGTTCTATGAACTGTAAGTGAATCAGATTCAATCTGGTAGTTTGCACTTACCACACCCATACCGATAACGCCAATGAAGAGTGACGAACCGTATCCTGAAGGGCAAGATGTCAGGCGTTGTATTGTGACTATGCTCGACGTTAGTGAGTTGTAACTCACACAGTACTATAGTACATGTGACCAGTGCTCTGCAAAAACCAACCTTAGGTGCTATTTTGGCGAAATTGATATTTTGCTGGAGTGTTGAACCATGACCCTTTCTTCAACTTCTGGTGAAGTTTCAGGTGAATTGCATTCATATTCAGGTAGATACAATGACAATTGCTTTGTAATTGTCCTGCAAATTTTGCAGGAAACATAGCAAAAATCCTGGATTTTATGCTACAGTTTGGAAAAAAATGCTGTGAGAATAGATGACTTGCACAAAGATTGTCTGGGTTCGAGACGGGGCAAGTGGACCTTCTGGACTGTACTTCTAACTCTGACTTCCCACCTTTTGAGTTCGTGACTTTCGAAGTTTCGCTTTTTGCCTGACGAACACTGAGCTATTTTTTTGGCTAGAGAGTAGAGTTGTTTTGATTCGGCTTGTATCGTCATGCCGAAGCGCTGCTACGCTCCTGAATGCACTAGCAGACGAGAGATGGAACTGAGGCTCCCATTCCATACGTTCCTTTCCGAGCCGGCCGGCCGGGAGGCAGAAAAAATGAGGGAATATTATTTTAGTATCATTGGTGTAGGCTGCAACAAGCACGTCGTGGTCCTGAAGTGTGACAACTTTCCCGCAGTGGAAGCGAAGTCAAGCACAACGAAAGTTTGTGGACGTCTGAGAAAGAACTCGATTCCCTTCGATTCGGCTGCACTAGCTCCAGAGCGACCCTCTCCTGAGGACAGACTGCGGAGAGGCCAGGAACCTGCCGAGTCAAGAGTGGAAGCCCGAACCACGAAAATGAGGGGTGGAAGGACTGAGTGTGAGAGCCAGATGGCCTTTAGTAGTACTTCAAGTAGTATCTGAGTTGAAGGAGAGAACAAGTGTGCTGGAGAAACGCTGCGAAGTCCTCAGGCCTGATGTGTACTAGCTACTGTTGAAGTCTCACTTGTTCCGATATGAACACTTCATCAGCCCTGACTCTGAGCAGCTGTATCTAGACTTGGACTTAGGCCAGAGACATAGCATTGTTAACCTTACTGAAGCCATATGTATCCAATGCCTGGCTCTAGTGAGAAAGCAGTTTGGCGCAAGCTCGGAAACTATGATTGAATCAGGGAGTGGTGGAAAGTCACATTATACCTCCCCATGATTAGCTGGTAATGACGACGATGCGGCTCCGGCTGGGTCTCGGTCTCAGAAAGGATTTGTTGGAGCATCATCAAACAGTGCATTCGCCTTCATCATACACTGGCTCCGTTGCCTACAGTAATTCACATTTTGACGGGGCGCGCTGGGACGATACGGAAGGAGCGGCGGGAACCATTGGAGTGCTCATGATGCTGGTTAGCGAAGACCGATGTGTCAGGAACGGGAACGCAACCGCACTACTGTACAGATCAGGAAGCGATGGAAGAGTTGAATCTGCTCAGCCTTCCATGCCGTGTACAGGGACACAAACGTAAAAATAGCTACATTTCAAATGTGAACTGGCAATGGCATTATGTGGCGACGAACACAACTGCAACTGTTCAAATTTCAGCATTTCGAACATTATGCTTCCCATGATAACTCACCGAATGGCTCACATGACGGAGTTGGACATTACCAGGCTAGGATAATCATTTGCTGTATTTATGGATAGTCCTTGAGTTTTCAGATGAAGTGCTTTATCTTTTACCTGTCGTTCCTTTAGTATGGCACAATGTCCATGGCTGCTTCCTTGTCTTCATAACAGACTGGTATAACCAGCATGATTCTGCTTTTTTGAGAAGAAATAAAACTTTCCTTTCGGAAAGGAAGCCCAGAAACGTCAACCCCCATGGACTGTGCTTTATGACTCTCGTCCATCGACGTTAACCGTCGCAATAACTGCTGCATGTATGTTGTGCTGTGCGAACCGTACAAGATTTTACAGCTCACCCACGCCTTCCCAACAGGCTCCTATATCCCGTACCGTTATTGATTTGATTTTTGGTTTGCTTGTAGACCGCTGGCACCAGCATTCAGTGACGCCGAAATTTTGGCACTGCTGGGAATAGTTTAGTCGCAAATTGAAGAATCACCGGCAAAAAGGCCCAAAACTTGGAGATAGTTTTATTTCAGCTTTGAGCAGCCCTGGGCGAAGTGTTTATTGAAATGTGGAATTTTTTCTTGGTGCACTTCCCTATGTCCAGCTAAACAACAAGATGAGGGTGGCGATGGTCAGTTCTTGAGTTTCGAACGGGCAGAAAGGTTAGAAATTGTAGCTTTTTGCCCATTTGTGCCCACGTGTCACTTTCAACGTACCTCTCTATAACATGATCCAGCTGTGATGTGAGTGGTCGCATTGATTTGATTTTTGGTTTACTTGTAGGCCGCTGGCACCTGCATTCAGTAACGCCGAAATTGTGGCACTGCTGTGAATAGTTTAGTCGCAAAGTGAAGAATCACGGGGAAAAAGGCCCAAAACTTCAAGATAGTTTTATTTCAGCTTTGAGCAGCCCTGAGCGAAGTGTTTATTGAAATGTGGAATTTTTTCTTGGTGCACTTCCCTATGTCCAGGTAAACAACAAGATGAGGGTGGCGATGGTCAGTTCATGAGCTTCGAACGGGCAGAAAGGTTAGAAATTGTCGCTTTTTGCCCATTTGCGCCCACGTGTCACTTTCAACGTACCTCTCTATAGCATGACCCAGCTGTGAGGTGAGTGGTCGCATTGATTTGATTTTTGGTTTGCTTGTAGACCGCTGGCACCCGCATTCAGTAACGCCGAAATTTTGGCACTGCTTGGAAGAGTTTAGTCGCAAAGTGAAGAATCACGGGCAAAAAGGCCCAAAACTTGGAGATAGTTCTATTTCAGCTTTGAGCAGCCCTGGGCGAAGTGTTTATTGAAATGTGGAATTTTTTCTTGGTGCACTTCCCTATGTCCAGCTAAACAACAAGATGAGGGTGGCGATGGTCAGTTCTTGATCTTCGAACAAGCAGAAAGGTGAGAAATTGTCGCTTTTTGCCCATTTGTGCCCCCGTGTCACTTTCAACGTACCTCTCTATAACATGATCCAGCTGTGATGTGAGTGGTCGCATTGATTTGATTTTTGATTTGCTTTGTAGGCCGCTGGCACCTGCATTCAGTAACGCCGAATTTTTGGCACTGCTGGGAATAGTTTAGTCGCAAAGTTAAGAATCACGGGCAAAAAGGCCCAAAACTTCAAGATAGTTCTATTTCAGCTTTGAGCAGCCCTGAGCGAAGTGTTTATTGAAATGTGGAATTTTTTCTTGGTGCACTTCCCTATGTCCAGCTAAACAACCAGATGAGGGTGGCGATGGTCAGTTCTTGAGCTTCGAACGGGCATAAAGGTGAGAAATTGTCGCTTTTTGCCCATTTGTGCCCACGTGTCACTTTCAACATACCTCTCTATAACATGACCCAGCTGTGATGTGAGTGGTCGTATTGATTTGATTTTTGGTTTGCTTGTAGACCGCTGGCACCAGCATTCAGTGACGCCGAAATTTTGGCACTCCTGGGAATAGTTTAGTCGCAAAGTGAAGAATCACAGGCCAAAAGGCCCAAAACTTTGAGATAGTTTTATTTCAGCTTTGAGCAGCCCTGGGCGAAGTGTTTATTGAAATGTGGAATTTTTTCTTGGTGCACTTCCCTATGTCAAGCTAAACAACAAGATGAGGGTGGCGATGGTCAGTTCTTGAGCTTCGAACGGGCATAAAGGTGAGAAATTGTCGCTTTTTGCCCATTTGTGCCCACGTGTCACTTTCAACATACCTCTCTATAACATGACCCAGCTGTGATGTGAGTGGTCGCATTGATTTGATTTTTGGTTTGCTTGTAGGCCGCTGGCACCCGCATTCAGTGACGCCGAAATTTTGGCACTGCTGTGAATAGTTTAGTCGCAAAGTGAAGAATCACGGGGAAAAAGGCCCAAAACTTCAAGATAGTTTTATTTCAGCTTTGAGCAGCCCTGAGCGAAGTGTTTATTGAAATGTGGAATTTTTTCTTGGTGCACTTCCCTTTGTCCAGCTAAACAACAAGATGAGGGTGGCGATGGTCAGTTCATGAGCTTCGAACGGGCAGAAAGGTTAGAAATTGTCGCTTTTTGCCCATTTGTGGCCACGTGTCACTTTCAACGTACCTCTCTATAACATGACCCAGCTATGAGGTGAGTGGTCGCATTGATTTGATTTTTGGTTTGCTTGTAGACCGCTGGCACCCGCATTCAGTAACGCCGAAATTTTGGCACTGCTTGGAATAGTTTAGTCGCAAAGTGAAGAATCACGGGCAAAAAGGCCCAAAACTTGGAGATAGTTCTATTTCAGCTTTGAGCAGCCCTGGGCGAGGTGTTTATTGAAATGTGGAATTTTTTCTTGGTGCACTTCCCTATGTCCAGCTAAACAACAAGATGAGGGTGGCGATGGTCAGTTCTTGATCTTCGAACAAGCAGAAAGGTGAGAAATTGTCGCTTTTTGCCCATTTGTGCCCCCGTGTCACTTTCAACGTACCTCTCTATAACATTATCCAGCTGTGATGTGAGTGGTCGCATTCATTTGATTTTTGGTTTGCTTGTAGGCCGCTGGCACCTGCATTCAGTAACTCCGAAATTTTGGCACTGCTGTGAATAGTTTAGTCGCAAAGTGAAGAATCACGGGCAAAAGGCCCAAAACTTGGAGATAGTTTTATTTCAGCTTTGAGCAGCCCTGGGCGAAGTGTTTATTGAAATGTGGAATTTTTTCTTGGTGCACTTCCCTATGTCCAGCTAAACAACAAGATGAGGGTGGCGATGGTCAGTTCTTGAGCTTCGAACGGGCATAAAGGTGAGAAATTGTCGCTTTTTGCCCATTTGTGCCCACGTGTCACTTTCAACATACCTCTCTATAACATGACCCAGCTGTGATGTGAGTGGTCGCATTGATTTGATTTTTGGTTTGCTTGTAGGCCGCTGGCACCCGCATTCAGTGACGCCGAAATTTTGGCACTGCTGGGAATAGTTTAGTTGCAAAGTGAAGAATCACGGGCAAAAAGGCCCAAAACTTCAAGATAGTTTTATTTCAGCTTTGAGCAGCCCTGGGCGAAGTGTTTATTGAAATGTGGAATTTTTCTTGGTGCACTTCCCTATGTCCAGCTAAACAACAAGATGAGGGTGGCGATGGTCAGTTCATGAGCTTCGAACGGGCAGAAAGGTTAGAAATTGTCGCTTTTTGCCCATTTGTGGCCACGTGTCACTTTCAACGTACCTCTCTATAACATGACCCAGCTGTGAGGTGAGTGGTCGCATTGATTTGATTTTTGGTTTGCTTGTAGACCGCTGGCACCCGCATTCAGTAACGCCGAAATTTTGGCACTGCTTGGAATAGTTTAGTCGCAAAGTGAAGAATCACGGGCAAAAAGGCCCAAAACTTGGAGATAGTTCTATTTCAGCTTTGAGCAGCCCTGGGCGAAGTGTTTATTGAAATGTGGAATTTTTTCTTGGTGCACTTCCCTATGTCCAGCTAAACAACAAGATGAGGGTGGCGATGGTCAGTTCTTGATCTTCGAACGAGCAGAAAGGTGAGAAATTGTCGCTTTTTGCCCATTTGTGCCCCCGTGTCACTTTCAACGTACCTCTCTATAACATGATCCAGCTGTGATGTGAGTGGTCGCATTCATTTGATTTTTGGTTTGCTTGTAGGCCGCTGGCACCTGCATTCAGTAACTCTGAAATTTTGGCACTGCTGTGAATAGTTTAGTCGCAAAGTGAAGAATCACGGGCAAAAGGCCCAAAACTTGGAGATAGTTTTATTTCAGCTTTGAGCAGCCCTGGGCGAAGTGTTTATTGAAATGTGGAATTTTTTCTTGGTGCACTTCCCTATGTCCAGCTAAACAACAAGATGAGGGTGGCGATGGTCAGTTCTTGAGCTTCGAACGGGCATAAAGGTGAGAAATTGTCGCTTTTTGCCCATTTGTGCCCACGTGTCACTTTCAACATACCTCTCTATAACATGACCCAGCTGTGATGTGAGTGGTCGCATTGATTTGATTTTTGGTTTGCTTGTAGGCCGCTGGCACCCGCATTCAGTGACGCCGAAATTTTGGCACTGCTGGGAATAGTTTAGTTGCAAAGTGAAGAATCACGGGCAAAAAGGCCCAAAACTTCAAGATAGTTTTATTTCAGCTTTGAGCAGCCCTGGGCGAAGTGTTTATTGAAATGTGGAATTTTTCTTGGTGCACTTCCCTATGTCCAGCTAAACAACAAGATGAGGGTGGCGATGGTCAGTTCATGAACTTCGAACGGGCAGAAAGGTTAGAAATTGTCGCTTTTTGCCCATTTGTGGCCACGTGTCACTTTCAACGTACCTCTCTATAACATGACCCAGCTGTGAGGTGAGTGGTCGCATTGATTTGATTTTTGGTTTGCTTGTAGACCGCTGGCACCCGCATTCAGTAACGCCGAAATTTTGGCACTGCTTGGAATAGTTTAGTCGCAAAGTGAAGAATCACGGGCAAAAAGGCCCAAAACTTGGAGATAGTTCTATTTCAGCTTTGAGCAGCCCTGGGCGAAGTGTTTATTGAAATGTGGAATTTTTTCTTGGTGCACTTCCCTATGTCCAGCTAAACAACAAGATGAGGGTGGCGATGGTCAGTTCTTGATCTTCGAACGAGCAGAAAGGTGAGAAATTGTCGCTTTTTGCCCATTTGTGCCCCGCGTCACTTTCAACGTACCTCTCTGTAACATGATCCAGCTGTGATGTGAGTGGTCGCATTGATTTGATTTTTGGTTTGCGTGTAGGCCGCTGGCACCTGCATTCAGTAACGCCGAAATTTTGGCACTGCTGTGAATAGTTTAGTCGCAAAGTTAAGAATCACGGGGAAAAAGGCCCAAAACTTCAAGATAGTTTTATTTCAGCTTTGAGCAGCCCTGAGCGAAGTGTTTATTGAAATGTGGAATTTTTTCTTGGTGCACTTCCCTATGTCCAGCTAAACAACAAGATGAGGGTGGCGGTGGTCAGTTCATGAGCTTCGAACGGGCAGAAAGGTTAGAAATTGTCGCTGTTTGCCCATTTGTGGCCACGTGTCACTTTCAACGTACCTCTCTATAACATGACCCAGCTGTGAGGTGAGTGGTCGCATTGATTTGATTTTTGGTTTGCTTGTAGACCGCTGGCACCCGCATTCAGTAACGCCGAAATTTTGGCACTGCTGGGAATAGTTTAGTCGCAAAGTGAAGAATCACGGGCAAAAAGACCCAAAACTTTGAGATAGTTTTATTTCAGCTTTGAGCAGCCCTGGGCGAAGTGTTTATTGAAATGTGGAATTTTTTCTTGGTGCACTTCCCTATGTCCAGCTAAACAACAAGATGAGGGTGGCGATGGTCAGTTCATGAGCTTCGAACGGGCATAAAGGTGAGAAATTGTCGCTTTTTGCCCATTTGTGCCCACGTGTCACTTTCAACGTACCTCTCTATAACATGACCCAGCTGTGAGGTGAGTGGTCGCATTGATTTGATTTTTGGTTTGCTTGTAGACCGCTGGCACCTGCATTCAGTAATGCCGAAATTTTGGCACTGTTGGGAATAGTTTAGTCGCAAAGTTAAGAATCACGGGGAAAAAGGCCCAAAACTTCAAGATAGTTTTATTTCAGCTTTGAGCAGCCCTGAGCGAAGTGTTTATTGAAATGTGGAATTTTTTCTTGGTGCACTTCCCTATGTCCAGCTAAACAACAAGATGAGGGTGGCGATGGTCAGTTCTTGATCTTCGAACGAGCAGAAAGGTGAGAAATTGTCGCTTTTTGCCCATTTGTGCCCCAGTGTCACTTTCAACGTACCTCTCTATAACATGATCCAGCTGTGATGTGAGTGGTCGCATTGATTTGATTTTTGGTTTGCTTGTAGGCCGCTGGCACCTGCATTCAGTAATGCCGAAATTTTGGCACTGTTGGGAATAGTTTAGTCGCAAAGTTAAGAATCACGGGGAAAAAGGCCCAAAACTTCAAGATAGTTTTATTTCAGCTTTGAGCAGCCCTGAGCGAAGTGTTTATTGAAATGTGGAATTTTTTCTTGGTGCACTTCCCTATGTCCAGCTAAACAACAAGATGAGGGTGGCGATGGTCAGTTCTTGAGCTTCGAACGGGCATAAAGGTGAGAAATTGTCGCTTTTTGCCCATTTGTGCCCACGTGTCACTTTCAACATACCTCTCTATAACATGACCCAGCTGTGATGTGAGTGGTCGTATTGATTTGATTTTTGGTTTGCTTGTAGACCGCTGGCACCAGCATTCAGTGACGCCGAAATTTTGGCACTGCTGGGAATAGTTTAGTCGCAAAGTGAAGAATCACGGGCAAAAAGGCCCAAAACTTGGAGATAGTTTTATTTCAGCTTTGGACAGCCCTGGGCGAAGTGTTTATTGAAATGTGGAATTTTTTCTTGGTGCACTTCCCTATGTCCAGCTAAACAACAAGATGAGGGTGGCGATGGTCAGTTCTTGAGCTTCGAACGGGCATAAAGGTGAGAAATTGTCGCTTTTTGCCCATTTGTGCCCACGTGTCACTTTCCACATACCTCTCCATAACATGACCCAGCTGTGATGTGAGTGGTCGCATTGATTTGATTTTTGGTTTGCTTGTAGGCCGCTGGCACCCGCATTCAGTAACGCCGAAATTTTGGCACTGCTGGGAATAGTTTAGTTGCAAAGTGAAGAATCACGGGCAAAAAGGCCCAAAACTTCGAGATAGTTTTATT